TGTGTGTTCAGAGTTTTCACGCATTACGCCGACCGTGGCTTATCTAGGGACCAGTAAAGAAAACAATGAAAGGCTCAGGAAAATGAGACAGACTTCCTTGGCCTGGAAGCTGGAGACAGAGAAAGAGTAGCGAGGATGAGACAGGGAGACTTGATGGACTTGTGTATGCTCCCTAGGCTGCTGCGTCATGGATGTCTGCTCCCGTCCTGCTACCAACCACAAAACTCAAAACTCTGCTGACTCCAGAGTCTCTAGCACTGGCTTCATCCCTGAAGTCCAGACTGACAAATTTAGCTTCTCTTCTTCCCGGGTGCTCCTTGGGACCCCAAAAGTATCAGAGTCCGACAGAAGTCTCCCATGTTTCCTCTCTTGGTGGGTGGGACTTCCCTCTGTGCAAGCGTCCACCAAAGGGGCTACATAGACCTCAGTTTTCCATTCCTAGACTGTTCAGTGCTACGTCTTATCTCCACACCCACCCGTCCCTGCTCAGGGGCTCAGCACCTCCTGATTGTCAATAATGAGTTAAGGAGGTGTGTATCCTCACACCTCCCTAGGTTTCCCTATTTCCACAGCGGCTGTATTGTACAAGATCAAAAAAAAAAAAAAAAAAAAAAAAAAAAACAGTTTCCAGGAATGTGTAAACGGCCTTTCGATTTAAAATACAAACAGGCTGTTGTAACTTTCCTACTCCCAACGTTGCTCCGCCCTCACTCTGTTCAAATATCCAACTGTCCTGGGGTATTTCCAGATGTGTGACCTCATATCCAAAGAGGGCCCCTTCCTCAGCCCAGCTCTACCCTCTCAAGGTTTTCCTGACTGACTCCAGCCAGACGACCCGTGGATGGAGGAGGCACATTCAGTCCTTGTCCCTGTAGCCTCATCCCCTGAAGAAGCTGCATCCCCTCCTGAGTCACATCATCTACCGGAAACGCCAGTGAATGACAAACTCCTGCCCTTCATTGATCGGACAGAGAAGAAAGAGGGTGGTAGACAGGGAGGGATGGAGGGAGGGAGGGAAGAAGGGGGAAGAAGACAGGGAGGCGAGGAAAAAAGGCAGACGGACATAACTGCTAGTTGCTTGTAAAATTATATCCCTTCAGTTCCTAGAGAGCTGCCTATGTATGTCACCAGGCATGCTGAACATGAGCTTTCACAGCGCCTCACTTAGTCTCACCCGCTCAAGTGTGTGTGTGTGTGTGTGTGTGTGTGTGTGGCTGAGGATCCAAGACCTGGCCTTGTGTGCACACCGCAAGCTCTCTGATACTGAACTACATCCCAAGCCCAACTTCAGGACCTTTGGGGCCAGGAGAAACAAGCAAACAAATCTAGATTTCAGGCTGTGCCTAGTAGAAGTGAAGCTGTAATTTGTAAACATGCCTAGGAGAAGAAACACACTCATTTAAGAGCATGTAGGGGGCTGGAGAGATGGCTAAATATTTGAGAGCGCTTGCTGCTCTCGCAAAGGACCCAGGTTTAGTTCCCAGTGTCCACATAGTGGCTTACAACCATCCATAACTTCAGATCCAGGGGATCCTGACACTCTCTTCTGACTTCTGCATGCCGTCAGCAAGCATAGACACACATATGTGAGCAAAACACTCATCTCTGATACAAATGAAATAACGTGAGATAAGATCTCTCAGTGTAGTCTCAGCTGTCCTGGAACTCCTGTGCAGACCAGGCTGGCCTTGGACTCAAAGAGATCCTCCTCCCTGCCTCCCAAGTGCTAGGATTAAGGGTGTGCACCACCATGCCTGGCCTAAATAAATCTTAAACTAAAATCCTGTAGAGCCAGTGATATGGCTCAGCAGGTTGAGTTGCCACCAAGCCTGGCGCTCTGAGTGTGATTTCCTGGAGCCCACATGGTGGGAAGAAGAGAACTAACTCCTCCAAGTTGTCCTCTGACCTCCACATGCATGTCATGATATATGCGCCCCCACACGAATGAATATAATCAAAGATTTTAATAAAAATAAAATCATGCAAAGACAGGGCATAGCCCCACATGCCTAGAATCCCACCACTTACTTGGTGAAGATAGGAGAATCAGGATTTTCATACACTAAGTTTCAGGTCAGCCTGGGTTACACAATGAGGCTATCCCAAATACAAAACAGGGCTGTGGACTTAGCTCAATGGAAGAGCACTTTCTGCCATATGCAAGATCCTGGGTTTATGCCTGGATTCACCATACACAACACACACACACACACACACACACGAACACACACACACGAACACACACACACGAACACACACACACACAAACACACACGAACACACACACACACACGAACACACACGAACACACACGCAAAGGTAAAAATGAATGGTATCAGATTCTTTTTTTTTTTTTTTTTTTTTTTTTTTTTTGTTTTCGAGACAGGGTTTCTCTGTGGTTTTGGAGCCTGTCCTGGAACTAGCTCTTGTAGACCAGGCTGGTCTCGAACTCACAGAGATCTGCCTGCCTCTGCCTCCGGAGCGCTGGGATTAAAGGCGTGCGCCACCACCACCCGGCTGGTGTTCTGCTTAAAGTGTTCTGCTTGGCTTTTATCTTTATTGACAACATCTTACATAGAGACTTGCTATGTATCCAGCTGGGATTATAGATGTATACCCAACATTCCTAATGACATTCTTACAGTCTGAGAAACGGAAGAGAAAGGGCTCCAGACGCCTAAAGGCAGGAGACAAAGATATCAAATAATAGAAAAAGAAACATGGAGATAGATGCCAGGTGGTGGTGGTGTGCGCCTTTAATCCTGGCACTTGGGAGGCAGAGGCAGGCAGATCTCTGAGTTCAAGGACAGCCTGGTCTACAGAGTGAGTTCCAGGACACCCAGTACTATTACATAGAGAAACCCTGTCTCAAAACAAGCAAAAACAGAAAGAAAGAGAAAGAAAAAAAGAAAGATGGAGATCTAACTGGTCACGGTGGCATGCAACTGGAATCCTTGCAGCCATGAAGTTCAAGTGCTCCCAGTCAGGGCTATAGAGCAAAACCCTGTCTCAAAACAAACACAACTCACAGCAAGGAGCCTAAGAGACTCTACACATCAAGGTGGCAGGCAGAGACCATCTTACTTAGCTTTGTCTGTGTGTTTAATACGCTCTCCCAGCATGGGACAAGCGCATTAAATACCGGTTGGTTGGTCAGGCGGTGAAGAACTTGCTTCGATGGCCATCCCAGAGCCACACGGTGAGACCCTGTTCCAGAGGGGGACTTGCTTCCAAAGGAGACCACAGCAAAAGAGAGCTTATGTGGCATCTCTTTATTTAAGTCTAGGTGGCAAAAAAAAAAAAATCAAATTTATTTTTATTTTTGCATATGAGTATTTTGCCTATATGTTTGTATGCATGCTTACCATGCGTGTTCAACAGAAGCCAGAAGAGGGCATTGCATAGCCCGGAACTGGAGTTATACTGGTGGTTGTTGAGTCAAGACGTGGGTCCTGGGCATTGTACTAGGTGTCTGCAAGAGCAGTAACTGCTCTTTTTGAGATATAAGGTGTATATGTGTGTCGGAATGCCAGGTGTGTGAGCACCCTTGGAGGCCTGGAGAGGGTGTACAATCCCGTGGAGTGGGAACTCTGCAACCATGCTGGGTTCTTCTGCAATAGCAGCAAACACTGTTTTTGTTCGTTTTTGAGACAGGATCTCTGTGTAGCCTTGGCTATCCTGGAACTCTCTCTGTAGACCAGGCTGGCCTTGAACTCACAGATCAATGAAAAACAAATTTTCTTCTATTCCTTTGGTTTCGCTTTTCCAATCTGCCAGCATACCTTAATGATATCCCTGTTCCTCCTGAGAACCCTATCTTTTCCACTTAGTAATGATCAAATGGAAAGAAATTGCTCCCAATCGTTTCCTGAATAACCATGGACCCTTCCCCCACAGGGAATTGTGGAGAATAAACCTTTCTCTTTGGACCAGGTTCCACACGGTACCAATGTGGGCTGGCAGCCAGAGTAAAGAAGAGTTTTGAATTCGGATCTCTGTGGGTCAAAGTCTACCTAAAACGGTTCAGATACTCTGACCCAAAGGGAGGGCTCTGTGGCTCAGGCTCAGGAAGACTCTGTGCAGGACAATTAGTATGTCAAAATATCAGTCTTTGGCTTTGGCGTCAGGCCTCTTGGGCTTACTTTGTGGCTCCGCCCCTGGGTGATTCTGCTTAATTTAACTTTCCACTCCTTTATTCTTCTAAACTTCAGTCTCTTGACCTACCTACCTGCTTAGAGAAAAGAAAGTTTTGGAGACATAAGAGCTAGAGAAAACGGGCTGGACTGTAGCGTACCGGTATAGCAGATGCTTGGCACGCACGAGGCCCTAGGTTGGATCCCTGAACACCAAAACAACAACAACAAAAACCCCACAACAAAAAAACCCACAGACTTCAGGACTATGGCGACTGCTCAGGCTCGCCCTTCCCAGACAGGTCGAGGGGTTCAGAAGCCTAAGCCGACACCGAGTCCTAAGGCGCTGAAGTTCCAGGCTGGCCCCGGAGCGCCCTCTGGCGGCCAGTCCCCCAACCTGGATTCCCTTTCCCTGAACTAGACCTGAGCTAAACTGTCACCTCCTCCTCCTCCGCGTCACTGCGAGGACCCCGCCCGCCGGAGCGTCTCTCCAGAGGCCTGGCCCCCGCGCTCCCCGGTAAAGCACCCCTCCTCCAGTGTGTTTAAAGGTCCCCACGGGGATCCGCCCCACCGGTCGCCCACAGACGGCCTCACCGCCCCCCAGAAGGTGCTGCACACCCTGCCCCCACGCTGCGTTTAGGCCGTCCCTCCCGATCCGCTCCGCCCTCCCCCACCTTAGCCCGAGCCTCTTCCTGTCCCTGGATCCCACCCCCAGCCAGCTTAATGAGGCCTCCCTCCCTACCCCCCCCCCGCACCCCCCAGAGGACCTGCCCTCCCGGGCTCCGTCGCGCGCGCCGCCCGCCCCCTCCCACGCCTGTGGGCGGGGCTCTCGCGGCCCGCCCCGGGGGCTGCCCGCCGTGACGTCACTTCCGTCCTGGTCTGGCGGAGGTTCGGCTCCACGGGCCGAGGGCGGGGGTACGGAGGTGGCAGCTGAGGCAGGAGGCGGTGCGGGAGGCGAGAAGCTCCCGCGCGGACCAATCCCTGCGTCCCGGGCCGCGACCCTGCTCCTGCAGCGCCCCGAGAAGAGGCCGGCCGGATGGGCCGCTGAGCCCGAGTCGGGGACCGGTGAGGCTTGGGCGCCGCGGCCTGCGCGGTTTGCAGGGTGGCGAGCCCCGGAGCGGACCTCCCTCTCCGGCTCGCCCAGCGGGAGGCACGGGCTGGGGCAGTCGCCGACCGGCTCGGTGGACAGTGAGGCCGGCTGGGCAGGTCTGGCAGAGGCCGGCGCCTGCAGAAGGCGGAGTAGCTGGGGTCATTAATGGGGCGGCGGGCCGCCGTTCGGGATTCTCGTCGAGCCTAGCGTCGGAGGAGGAGCTGACCATGGCTCGGGGAAGAGGATGGCGGGCGGGGGTGGGGGGGCAACACCGAGAGCCTTGGGAAAAATTCCATGACCCGCGAGATGGGCTTGGGAGCCGCTCGCTCTCAGGACTAAGAGGTGGTATGGCCCAGCAGCCGAAGGGTCTCCCTGGAGTTTGGAGGGCTCAGTGACAGTGTGTGTAAGAGACAGCTTTAAGAGTAGCCACCCTGAGCCGGTGTGCAGAAACCCGGGCGCCTGCATGGAACTCAGCCTCCGTGTCTTCGCAGCGTGGAGCCCCCTGGAGCTGAGATCAGGATGTTCCGCTTCATGAGGGACGTGGAGCCTGACGATCCCATGTTCCTGATGTGAGAATTCCCTCCCCCGAGTGCTGAACGCTCACCCCACTCCCTGCTTCAGGCCTGAGCAGTTCAGACAGACCTCCGGGTTCCCGTCTGGAACCGGTTCGAACTAGCTGGATACCCAGCCGCAGCTCTCAATTAGAGGGAAGTTGGCATCTGTGCCACTGTGTGCCCCTGACTGGTTTGGGGGAGCCGGGGAAGGCTGGGTGTTGACAGCTTGGTCTTTTGGCCTTCTATAATGTATGCTTGCTCCACAGGGACCCCTTCGCCATTCACCGCCAGCACATGAGCCGCATGTTGTCAGGTGGCTTTGGCTATAGCCCCTTTCTTAGCATCACAGATGGTAACATGCCAGCAACCAGGCCCGCCAGCCGCAGGATGCAGGTAACAGTTGGAACAGACAGGAGATGCAGGGTGCTTATTAAAGCACGCTGCTGTTCTTGTCCTGCAACCAGCAAAGGAAATGACCGGTGTGGGAGGCTGAGGAGTGGAGTCAGGAGTCTGGGGAAGGAGATTTGTGGCTCCTTTTGAGGGAAGGATGAGGAGGAAGTGGGGGACACGGGCCTTGCTTGCTGTTTAAAGCAGAATGTTGTTCTAACTTGTGTTCCTCTTGTGTTCGTGTAGGCTGGGGCTGTCTCTCCCTTTGGGATGTTGGGAATGGTGAGTCCTTATGTTCCTGTTCCCCTGTATCTCAGACACATACTACGGTCTTAGACGTTGTTTCCAAATGTGTCCCCTCTGGAGTAGTCTCAGGGATGGTCTCAAAAATCTTCTCTTTGGAGAGTTGACACATTCAGAGCCCATTGGGTTTAAATCCTGGAGCTAGGGCTGGAGAGATGGTCAAGAGTCAAGAGCACCTGGTTGCTCTTCCAGACGACCAGGGTTCGATTCCCAGCAGACTCCATGGCAGCTCACAGCTGTCTTATCTCCGGTCCCAGGGGATCCAATGGCATCTTCTGTCCCCTACCATGCATTGCATGAATGTAGTGCACAGACACGCATGCAGGAAACCACCCATACATGTAAAAATAATAAAATGTTCACACACACACACACACACACACACACACGCAAAGGAATCTGCAGCGTGGTGGTGGCACACGCCTTTAATCCCAGCACTCAGGAGGCAGAGACAGGCAGATTTCCGTGAGTTCAAGGCAGCCTGATCTACCAAGTGAGTTCCAGGACAGGCTCCAAAGCTGCAGAAAAAAGCCCTGTCTCAAAAAAAAAAAAAACAAAAAGAAAAAAAAAAAAGAAAAAAACCTTTCTGGAGTGAGATAATCCTGGCTCCTGGGTGTTCTTAACCACGGGAAATGCAACTGTGCAGCATTCTCTTAAGGAGAAGATGCATCCGAAGGGCCAGGGAATAGAGTTTGGGACACTTTCACGATTCTGTGTTAGAATGTTAAAGGTTTTAAATCATTGATTTGGGTTCACTTCCCCAAAGATAAGGAAATAAGCAGAGAAGAATCATAGCAGCCATAGAGCCTGAGGAGGGGGCCAGCTCTTTATGGAGGAGGAGGTTGAGGTATATAGGAGAGAAAGGGCCTGGAGTCAGCTGGGTGGCAGTTCCAAAACAGCGTCACCACATCTACTTTGCTTCCCTGACTGTCTGTCTTCTCTCCCCTCAGTCTGGTGGCTTCATGGACATGTTTGGGATGATGAACGACATGATTGGGAACATGGTATGACTCTTGCTCCGTTGTCTTCCTGGGCCTCAGTGGCAGCCACTGTCCCTGGCATCCTTTGAGACAGGAGAGAAAGAAGTACACTAGTGAAGAGGCTGGGGTGGATGAGCCAATTGAGGCTGAGCCCTAGGGTCCTGGGTCTGCTCTCATCCCTGTGCATGGTTAAGTATGTTTAGTGTGGAGCAGTGAAGAATTGGGCATGTTATGATTCTCATGTTCTCACATAGTTTAAGAAGGATGTGGCAAGAACAAGCAGCAGAAGGGAGCTCCCTTCTGCAGAGTAGCTTCCCCTCATCAGCCTGACACTCCCCTTTCTCCCTCAGGAACACATGGCCGCGGGGGGCAACTGCCAGACCTTTTCTTCCTCCACCGTCATCTCCTACTCCAACACTGGGGACGGAGCCCCGAAAGTTTACCAGGAGACATCTGAGATGCGCTCTGCCCCAGGCGGGGTGAGTGAGGAACTCCCCTATCTCACAGGAAGTAGGGTTGAGTGGCATCCACAGAAACCCTGATATCTTTTTTCAGGAGTGGGTCGGGGTGGTGTAGCTGGGGCTTTGGGTGGGGAGTTGAATGTGCCGTGTCCACCTCATCCCAGATCCGGGAGACAAGGAGGACTGTCCGGGACTCAGACAGTGGTCTGGAGCAGATGTCCATCGGCCATCACATTCGGGACAGGGCTCACATCCTCCAGCGCTCCCGAAATCACCGCACAGGGGACCAGGAAGAACGGCAGGACTACATCAACCTGGACGAAAGTGAGTCTCGTTCCTGTGGGCTGTATCATAGCTGCCTCTCCATCCCTCAGGTATCTCTCAGGCAGAGTTATGAGTGAGCCCTATGCTTAGGCCTTGTTGCCAGCTTCAGGGTTGAGTCAGGTGTTGCTAAGGAGGAGGCAGATGCTGTGACTGAAGTCAGGTGTTGCTAAGGAGGAGGCAGATGCTGTGACTGAAGTCAGGTGTTGATGGTGTCATGCTGTTCCGTACCTGGATCAGTGATTTTTGTTTTCCAGCCTTTACTTCATCTCTCTCAGATTAGTGTGGTTTCATTAAGTTGCCGTGGTGCCTATAACTCCTGCGTTCTTTGTCCAGTGGTTGTGCCAAAATGGCTCCCTACCCCTGTTCTCACATGCGTGATCTCCGCTTTTGCCCCGATTTCTGATGTTGGAAGGCTGTGGCTCACAGCCCCTCCATGCCTGCGCTGTGTCTGCCTTAGGTGAGGCCGCGGCCTTTGATGATGAATGGCGAAGGGAGACTTCCCGATTCAGACAGCAGCGTCCTCTGGAGTTTCGACGGCATGAGGCGTCTGCGGGTGGAGGACGAAGGGGCGAGGGGCCTCCCCGCCTGGCTATCCAGGGACCCGAGGACTCCCCCTCCCGACAGTCCCGCCGCTATGACTGGTGAAGGCCCCAGGCTCTCAGGCTCTCTTGTAAGTGCCTGAGAGGGAGGAATGGAAGGGTGACAGACCTGTCATGCCTTGGGTAGAGTCGCTCAGCTGTCATGGGAAGAGAAACTGGTTTTCTGAGTGTCTGGAAGAGTAGCTCCGACCCCAGGCTTCTGTGTCTTTTCTCCCTCTGACAGGCTCATCTTTTCTTCCTCAGGTACAGGCTGAGAGGCTGAGAGATCATCCCGTGAAATAACATTGTCCTTCCCAACTTCATCCCAATTTAATATTAAATTAACAGGCAAGCTGGCCCCCGCCTCTCCCTGGGGGTCTCAGGGAGAACCTTTCACTGCCCCCACCTCCTTTTCCGTCTTTTCTCCCCTCACCATGGTGACCCCACCCATCTTGACTCCACTAACTTGAGTTTTCATTTTACTGCTCCATCTCCAAGCTGCCTCATCTTCCTTGAGCCCCTGCCACACATTGAAGTTTTGGGGTGCAAGCTCTGAGTTTAGGGATCACCATCCCTCAGCTCCCCTGGACCCTTGCCCACCTGCTCTTCAGAGCCCCACTGCAGATGCCATCGTCCTGTGAGGGCTGTGGAGGGAGCGGACTATTCCCAACTCTTCGTCCCTTCTCCCACCCCACATCACAAAAAGACACTTTCCTATACCCTTCTCTGCCTTTATAAAAATAAATGATTTGTGCAACTTGTAACTAGGTGTTTATGGAATAAAGGAGAATGAAAAAGTAAGGTTCTGGCTGTACTTATATCTTTTCCCTCAGCTCACCCTCCCGTGTCCCAGACACTTTCTTACCTTCCCTCTTGGCTCCACATGTGGCCCAGCTGTCTTAGGGTTTCTTTTGAAACACTGACCAAGGCAGCTTATAAAAGAAAGCATTTAATTGGGGGCTTACTCGCAGTTTCAGGGTTTGTCCATAACCATCATGGTGGGCATGGCATGGCGGGCGGGCAGCCATGGTGTAACAGAAGCTGAGCGCTCATCTGATCTGCAAGTAGGAGACCGAGCAACTGGGAAAGGCTGGGGCTTTTGAAAGCCACACTCCTCCTAGTCCTTCCTGAACTCCGTCCCAGCTGGGAACCAAACATCCGAATATATGAACCTGTGCTGGCCGTTCTCAAACCACCACGGCAGTCACAGTGAACAGCTCCTGGGGGAGCGGGGGCAAGAGGAAAAAAGGAACAGCCAAACCCGCCTAGCCTGCCCTCTCCCCTGCATCTGACTGTAACTTCACTCCAGGTCGAGTTAGGGTGCAGGGTGTAGCCCGTGGGGTTGGCCAGTCCACCCTTTGGGCAGACACCTGCACAGGTAACCTCTCAAAAGTCTTGGAGAGGGGAGGAGGAGTCAGCATCCCTCAAAACCATCAAGCCCCAGATGCTGAGAATTTGAGCCAGGGAGAGAGCAGTGGAGAAGGCTGGAACCAGAACAACCTGGAGGACAGGAGAGCTCACATTTCTCAGCGTGTTCCCTCTTACTTTGCAGCCAAATGGGTCAGTCTGTCCCTGCTGTGTGTTAGGCAAGCACTGTGCCACTGAGCTATGTCCCCGAGCCAAGTTCTGTTTCTCCCTTTTT